TCCACATTGATACCATTGGGCTGCAGGGTTCCCAAGCGGAATATGAGTTGCTGTTCCTGCAACCTTTGGGTGGCATCGTTGTGGCACTGCAGGAGGCCCAGGATGGACATGTCGTCTGAGGAATGGGAGGGGGAGGTGAAATGGTTCGCGACTGGGAGGTGCAGTTGTTTATTGCGAACCGAGCGTAGGTGTTCTGCAAAGCGGTCCCCGAGCCTCCGCTTGGTTTCCCCGATGTAGAGGAAGCCACACCGGGTACAGCGGATGCAGTATACCACATTGGCAGATGTGCAGGTGAACATCTGCTTGATGTGGAAAGTCTTCTTGGGGCCTGGGATGGGGGTGAGGGAGGAGGTATAGGGGCAGGTGTAGCACTTCCTGCGACTGCAGGGAAAAGTGCCGGGTGTGGTGGAGCTGGAGGGGAAAAGTACAGCTGCCCTGAGTCAGATTTCATTCGTGGGATATCCAAAAAAGCATCATGTATACTTTAGACATATCAGGAAGGAAATACGGAATGTTAAGCTTTTGAGGGAATTATCAAGCTCATTCATTGAAACTATCAAGTTGTCAATGGAGTTGTCATGGAAACTGTCAAACTGTCAAGGCAACTAAATGTCCCAGCTGTTACAATTTTGAAAGAAAACCTGTCTGCATTCTGAAACTAAAATCAGAGCTTGCTGTTTCACTCTGTTTGTTGACATGAGCCTGAGGAAGTTATAAGATTTATACTGCATGACTTATATCACACTGGAGTGTCTGTCAGCAAAACTTGATTGACAGCTCTAAGTACTTATAAATCTTTGAAGTTGGATAGTAAATATAAATATCTTTGATGTAAAGGATTACAAGAAGTTAAATGTAGCAATTTTTTTCTATCAATAAGAGTGTTTCTTTTTGAAAGAGCGATTCATCAATATACAGTAACAAGGTTTACTTAATCACAGTCTGCATCCTGCCACCCTGTCCACTGTGAATACTGACCAAATTGGCAAATGCACAAGACACAAGGCATGTAAAAGCACGGGACACAAGTTGTCATGAGTTGGCACTAAGCTAGCATAGGTACTATATTGGGCTGTGGAAATGGGGAGAGAAGGCATAGATTGGCATAGGTAGGTATGGGGGTGACGTGAGAAGTGTTTGTGGAGGTGGATAAGGCAGTATGAGGGATGAGGGCTATTGTTCGTTTTTTTGGGTATTTTTTTTAAACAATGTTGAAAAATCTCAATTGCCCAAGATGGACCTTTCCCACAACCTGCCTCCGCAACCAATAAACACTGAGCTCTATTTCCCCTGACTCCTGCATAAGATACCCACTCCAATACCTCCAAATTCTGACTGTCCAGGGCACTTTCTCCACGGGACCAGGCGTGTAGAGCCATTAACTTTTAAACTATGTTTGAAGCCACAGGGTATTTGTTCTGGAAAAAGTCGGCAGGTGCAAATAATAGAGTAAAACACTTACATCCAGCCATGGTCACACTTCAAGGCTCATTTTAAGGATGACACCACCATTTTTCCACACCCCTAATAATGCAATAGCGTGTCCACGTGGATTTGGTATTGGAACAGGTCTTGAACTCACAGCCTGAGCCACAGCTGATACTGGGAATGTGGTCTAGAGTCGTGTGTATGGATGATGGATGAAGAGTGTACTTTTAAGTGTACTGTAAAGACACAGACTTTGATAAAGAATGAGACAATCCTCAAGGACAGCACAAATAATAACAAAATAAAAACCAAAAGAACTCCTGACGCTGTAAATCAGAAACAAAAACAGAAGCAAATTGCTGGAAAAGCTCAGCAGGTCCAGCAGCATCTGTGGAGAGAAACTGTTTTGAGTTCTGAGGAAGGGTCCCTTGACCCTTTGAGCTTTTTCAGCAATTTCTGTTTTTATTTCGATTGGTGCGTACTCAGGTGCATACTAAATGGCGCGTACTCAGTTCTCACACTAGCTCATCATATCTACCGACAGGACCGGCAACAACTATGGAGAGAAACTGTTCTGAGTTCTGAGGAAGGGTCCCTCAACCCTTTGAGCTTTTCCAGCAATTTCCGTTTTTGGTACATATGATGAGCTAATGTGAAAGCCAGGAAGGGGAACTGAGTACGCACCATTTAGCGAGAGTTAGGACATGGCAGGAGCAAAAGTTGGATTTCATAGCTGAGATGAAATCAAAGAGGGACAAATGGGGAGACAAAGCAGAAGCGAAAGCAAGGTAATAGTTCAGAATTAGGCGTGGGGAAGGAGGATTGGGTGAAATTAGCTTGATGTACACAGGAAAGTGGAAAGCGCAGCTGTAGAAATGGTCACGACTTTGGTCACAAAACACTCCATAAGCTCCTTGCATTTTATGTTAGAAGATGGGGGAGGGGGCTAAAAGAGACAGTTATTGGTGGAGATAAAGACCCTTTACTTAGAATAGAATCATAGAATCCCTACAGTGTGGAAGTAGGCCATTCAGCCCATTGAGTTCACACCAACCCTTTGGAGGGCATCCTGCCCACACCCAACACCCCCACTACCCTATCCGTGTAACCCTGCATTCCTCATGGCTAACCCATCTGCACACTATGGGCAATTTAGCGTGGCCAATCCACTCAACCTGCACATCCTTGGACTGTGGAAGGAAACTGGAGAACCCGGAGGAAACCCATGCAAACTCAGGGAAAAAGTGCAAATTCCACATAGACAGTCACCCAAGGCTGGAACCGAACCCAGGTCCCTGATTCTATGAGGCAGCAGTGCTAACCACTGAGCCACCATGCTGCCTTTTCTGGAGCAGAGTCAGACCTAATAAAGCTTTATGAAACCAGTTATCTCTGCTGGTGGATTGATAAATGATTTGGATGCCCAATACCATCAAGTCAATGCCCATCGCACTTAAGGAAGCAAAATCAACAGCAGGGGAATGGCCTAGATGAAAGACAATGAAGGGTTTGCTGGTGTAACGGACATTAATGGAATGATTCACTGGATGACAACTGCAGAGGTATTGTGATGGAAGGAAAGCCGATGGTAGTTGGGCATTTGGAAGCATGTTTTGCAATGTGAGCCAACTCATACCTGTCCTTTGTGATCTCTAATTTCAACATGCCCCTGCCACATCTTAAGCCCCGGCTCCTTCAACCTTGGCAAAGATACTGAGAAACTTGAGATGTTTTTAATGCTCTCCAGAAACTTTCTGCATACTTTTCTCCCTTCAATGTCTCACACTCAGTGCTCCTCTCCTAATATTGGTGTCAACCCTAGGCTGTCCTGCAACTGGATCTGCAGGAAGATAGTTACAAGATCAATAACAAAAAATGCAACATTTTCTGCACTTCAGAGTCAGGTGAGCCCTAAAGTAGTACAAAACAAATTAAAACTGAGATACACTTAAGATAAAACATTGACTGATGAGTGCATAACTTTCAGTTTCACTTGTGACTCCTCATTTATATAACACAATCCATAAGCATATGTAACAAGACTTGAACAAGGCTTGAGCTGCTTAGTGGTGACTAAATTTATGCCACACACAAAACAGATAATCGCCATCTCCAACAAGAAAAAATCGAGCCATCTCTCCTTGAGCTTCAATGGCATGTCAATTGCTGACTCTACCACTATCAATGTCTAGGGATTGCCATTGTCACTGAACACAAACTGAAAAGGACCAGCCATATCAATACTGTTGGCTACGAGAGTAGATCAAAGACTGGGAATTCTGTGGCGTGCAGGTCACTTTACTCCCAGAAGTCTCTCCATCTACAAAAGTACACATCCATTTGCTTGGATGAGTGCAGTTACATCAATACTTTAGACACTTGACAACATCCAGGACAAAGCAGCTCATTTGACTGGCACTCCATCCAGCAGCTTCAAATTTTAGACACTCTGCCACTGAGGCCTGGTGGCTGCAGTGTGCACCATCTACAAGATGCACTGCAGCAACTAGCCTTGCCTTCTTTTCCAGCATTTTCCAAGACCTTGACCTCTACATCCACAAAACCTCAGAGAACACCACGACCGGCAAGTTCCTCTTCAAGCCGTTCACCATCCTGACTTGCTGTACCTTCACTGTTGCTATGATGAAAAATCCTCAGACTTCCTTCCTTGCTGCAGAGTGAGTCTACCTACACCACATGGACTGCAATGGTCGATGAAGGCAGCTCAGCACCACAACTAGAGCGATGAGGAACAGAGTACAATGGTTGACTTTGTCAGCAAAGCCCACAACCTGTAAAAAAATAAGAAGCTCAAACACGTCAGGTCATTTGTGATTTGAAAGCTACAACTTACTAAGCAGGCCAGGTAACTTGCTTGAAGGTGGGTTTCATACCAAATGGAATCTGGCAAACTTCCTGTTTGAGACTGAAACAAAATATTACTGAAATTAATCTTACACCAGAAGTGATAGTTGACGAGTTAGGTTTAATCACCCTTGCCCTGTTCAACTCTGGGTACAACACTGTCTTGTGCTAGCTTTTTGTCTGGTGCTGTACTCAGTTACCTTGGTCCGAGTCCAGAGACAATGTGGGTTGGGGTCTGTGCCAGTGTGGGTGTGGGAGTTTGATTCCCGTTTCCACCCAGTGCCCACATGCTCTCACTGCCTGGCAAGAGTTATTAAAGAGGTACCAGGTAATGTGGATTATATTGCATAGAGAGTGCAAAACCCAGACTTGTTTTATTAACCTCCTGATTTTCCTGCACAGGAAGGAGATGCAAACCGAGTACTGGTATCCATAAATATCCATGATGCCATATCTCCTCAATAAAGGTGCTGTTAACTTATTTAGTTGTGTTTTCCTTACTTAGTTCAGAAGCACTGAAACTGAAGGTAACCCCAAATATACCATCCTTTTTGAGCTTGGTTACTTCAAAAATCCAAACTTGGGGCTTCCTTCTCCACTGTCCATCTCAGATTGAAGCAAAACATTTACAAGCCAAACTATCAGAACCTGCTACACCAAAAATTCTAACCCTGATTTTGAAAACTGAACATTAGTAATAGTCACCCATTCTCATTTCAAAAGCTCAGATTGTGAGGTCACCCCTCACAATTTCCCCAGGCAAAGGGTAGAGGCCAGTAGGTGTCATACCAATTAACCTTCTAGGGGAGAAGTGAATTCAAGCCATCACTGACCACTGTTAACTGCAGACTTCCACTGGAATGTCAAGGAGCCAGATCCAGTAAGAACTTGTTGAAACGTCTTTGAGGTGTTGGCAATAACAGAACTGCCACACAAACAAGGGGCATGGACTGAGAGAGAGAGAGAGAGTCAGAGTAAATGAGAGAGAGAGAGGGAGTGACAGAGAGAGGAGGGGTGGATGAGAAAGGGGCGAGAGTGGGAGAGGCGGACAGAGAGAAAGCGAGAGAAAGAGAGAGAGACCATCACTCTAATAATGGAAGCATAGGATGCATTAGCCAAACACGTCAGCCAAATCCAACGTCTCAGCTAAGGTCTTGAGAACAAGTCTAGGCCATCACATCTTTTGAACCTGCTTTGCTATTCAATAAGATCATGGTTGATCAACTAGTTCAGCTCCACTTTCCCATCCTACCTCCCCTCCACCACCTTGATGTCCGTAATGACCAAACATTTGTTGATCTCAGTTTTAAGCAATCTCAAGGACTGACCGTCCATAGTTATATATACAGCGCCAAATGATTTCGCTTATAAATGAAATATAAAACAGAGATTTAGAATCTAATGTTTGGCTGCTGTTTTATCCCCAGTTGTTCCATATTTAAAGGATAAATAAATGCTTACTGGCAATTCAGTGCTTTGAAAACAGAGACCTCCTTTCTGAAAGGAAAATCAAAATTAGTTACAGAGCAGAACAAAATAACAAACTTACAAATATGCAAATCTGACAATTCAACGATTGCAATTATAGGTGCACATTACCTTGGAATTCAGTAACATGAATTATACCTTGTTATTTGCCAAGGTCTCAGTCGCCCCAAAAAAACTTTGTAAATGCGAGCAAGATTCTCTAGTCAGGAACAATGTATAACTTTAAGGTTAATATATGTTTTGTAGTTCATGTATGAAGGATGGGGAGACATGGTTTGATCTCATTTTAGAGTTGTTCTTGTGAGCTTGGTACAGAGACATCTGCAGGCCAATTCGTTCAGGAATAAAGTGAGTTTGCATCCTTATTCAATGTTTGTAATGAAATCTTTCTAATCTTTTTATCTAGTAGTTCACTCCTTTTTATACAAAAACAGAAATTGCTGGGAAAAAAATTTCAGCGGGTCTGGCAGCGTCTGTAGACAAAAAGCAGGCTCAGTGTTTCAGGTCCAGTGACCCTTCTTCAGAATTGGTTAGATTTTCCATCCATTGTGACTTTAATTGGAAACAAGTGCCCAATGAAGGGTCTCATCCTATTGCCCATTACATCAGAGTGGCCTGTGTCCAACATGTAACCTGTCAGGTTTAATCCCAAGCCCCTGTGTGAATCAGAGGACCCCTCCCACAGTTTAGCTTCCCTAAATCCATCCTTTCCCTGCTTCCTTGTCCAACATGATACTCCTAGGAACACTCTCCCCGCACTTCATTGTTATTCTGGCCCCAGAGTATTCTCAGATGTACCTCACTACCTGGCTCTATCACTGAACTGCCCTCCTTTACCTGTTGCAGTACCAGTGGCAGCCACAACACCTGCATGGCGCTGCCAGTGTGCACAGCTGCCAGCCTCCTGATTGGCCGGTTGCTCTATAAAGTGGGGACATCCTCTTGGAGACAGGCAGAAGTCCCACCTTGTATTACTTAGCAATTAAAGGACCATCACCTGAAAACCTGAAACGGGAAGGGGCTGGCTAAAAGGAAGTGGACCCGAAACTTCCACCAGCGTATAGGGAGTCTACCTTCAGTGTAAAAGCCAGCTCCATATCAGCAATTACCTTCCCTGCACAGCAACATTTCTTATTAACTTTATCAACCCATTATTCATCCTGTTCAATCTAATCCTGAACGTTGAATCTTGGCATTGTAATTCAACTTCCAACACAAAGTAAATCTCATGTCTTCACAGAACAGGATACAAATTTCCTCTTTGTACTAAATCTTCCATTTATTCTCATAGCTTTAGACCCTCCTGGACTGGAAGCAACAAGTTTCCATATACCCTATAACACCCTTTCATGCCTTTTGAACACTTTTTATTGGATAGCTTGCTTTGTTCTCGTGAGGAAGTGCTGGAATTTTCCATGTTTTTGGTATTGCCTCATACTGGGCAGAATCTGCTTTGTAACATGCAAGTACATTCTGGGTAAAATTTATGCTCACCCTACATGTGTAACACTGACTTTGCATGCACGCTCTGCTGATTCCAGCCAACAGTAAATCACTTACCAAGTTGGAAGATGAACAGGTACAGCTACCCGTCGCGAACATGAAAGTTTCATGGCAGCGTATGCACCTAGCAGAAAAATAAAATGAAATGCATAAAACTGGAACAGATCCAGAATCTATTGTTCGTATAGCTAACAAACAAGGTACACAAAACAATAAGTCAGTTTGCTTTTCACAGTATTATATACCTGGACAGTGCTGTTGTTACTACAGCATGGAAAAGAATCAATTTCCACTCCTTAACATCCCAACAAACAATTTTTCATCGTCCTCCCTTGACCTCGATAAAGGAGCCTTGGCATAGTTTGGCTGCCTCTCAAATAATTAAAGCCTTACCCTGTTCCAAGACTTTTGTGTATTGCTGGATTTGTTTCCCAGTGACTCCATCATGTTTACTATCTGGCAACTTTTCATGGTAATCAAATTGCATTGAGATACGTAATTTTGGCTATTCTTCATGTTTAATTGTCAGGCTTGCCAGTCCTGCCCTACAGAGATTGTTGACTAGTCACAAATGTGGCGATGGCAATACTATTTTAAGCCCACGCATTAATTTTAGTTAAAACAAACCCATTCAGTAAATGCAAAATACATCATGTAATTTGCATATATTTACCTAACAAAATGTCTACCACCATTAAGAAACAAAGCACTCACGCTGACCAAAAAACTTCACAGGCTTGCTTTACATTTTACTACAAAAGGATAAAGGCCACACATTTGTATGCTTAGTAACACAAGAACAAAGGTCACAAGACCATTTAAGTATCTGTCCCCCACTTAAGTTATTAGTCAAAAATATGATTATCCACATCAGATTTCCCAGCTGAATGGATGTGACTAAAATAGTGGCTAACGTTAGCATTAGCAACCATATATAGTGACTAATAAGCTATAGACCAGGAACATTTCAGATTTGTACCCTACATGGAGTTGAACTAAGAATAGAGGAATGCAGTGCACTGGGAGCACTCTGGACATTTCATTAACTTGTTCAATCTCAATGTTCAAAAAGAAGATCTCAGACTATTCTATTTTTCAAACGTCAGATGCTTCCTCTGCTAATATTAATCCAAAAAGAAATGCTCGTATTTATATTCCACCTTTTATGACCAATGACTGTTTCATAGTGCATTGAAGCTATTAGTTTCTCAGGTACTGAGGCAGTCCAGGTCCAAACGCAGCAAGACCAGGATCATATTCAGTTCTGGGTTGTCAAGTGGCAGGTAACATAGGTGCCACACAAGTGCCAGGCAATGGCCCTTGACACCATCCAGGGCAAGGCAGCCCACTTGATCGGCACCACATCCACAAGCATTCATTCCCTTCACCACTGACACTCAGTAGCAGCAGTGTATACCTATCTACAAGACGGACTGCGGAAATTCACCAAAAATCCCAAATCTAAATCCAAATCCACTTCCATCCAGAAGGACAGGAGCAGCAGATACATGGGAATACCACCACCTACAAGTTCCCTTCCAAAATACTCACCATCCTGACTTGAAATATATCACTGTTCCTTCACTGTCACTGGATTAAGTTCCTGGAATTCTCTTCCTAAAAGCATTGTTGGTCTGTCTCACCAAATGTACTACAGCGGGTCATGAAGGCACCTTCTCAAGGGCAACTAGGAACAGGCAATAAATCCTGGCCAGTCAGTGATGTCCACGTCATGGAAATGAACCATAAAAGGTCCTTTTGAAGTGCTGTAATGTACAAAGTGCAGCACACAGCAAGCATCCACATTGAGAATAAACGTTGGCTAGATCACTCATGAAAACTCCACAGCTCTTTTTCAAAACAGCAACATAGGGTACACTTTGTTCACCTTCCACTGCCCTCAACTTAACAGTTTATCTGAAAGATACATTCGCATGTATCTGCTGCTCCTGTCCTTCTGGATGGAAGTGGTTTTGGATTTAGAAGGTGCTATCTAAGGATCTTTATAGAGCAGCATTCCCTCAGTCTTACACTGTTAAACTTAATTTTGTAACCAGGTCCTGGAGTAGGATGTGACTCAAAAGCAAGACAGTTTCCAACTGAGTCACTGCTCACAAACAGCACTCTCTGGTCTTAAAAGTATCAGATTCCAAAAGTGCTGCTGGTCTGCTATAACTAGTCATTCCTGATTGGTATTCAGTCACTGTTGCTGAAACATCCATGTATGTAAACGACAGCTTCACACTAGCATGGCACAAATATTGCTTAATATTTACTGACTCTCATGCAGTTGAGCCACACTGGTGAAATACAGGATGCAAGCCAAAGTTTGTGGGTCCATACGACAGACAGAGTCATCATCTCGCTGGGGGAAGGGCGAATGTGGAAGGGAAGGGGAGGAAAAATTACAAAATGGTAAGCTTTAAGAAGAAAATTGTTTCTTGATATCATGAGGAGTGAATTGAATTGATTGAAGACTGCTATCTGTGGTACTGAAGACCTCGGGAGGAGGCCAAGATGGATAATCCACTCAGTACTTCTGGTTGAAGACTGTTGTGAATGCTTCAGCCTTATCTTTGGTACTGCTGTGCTGGGCTGTTCCATCAATGAGGAAAGGGATATTTGTGGACCCTCCTTCTCCAGTGAGCTGTTTGATTGTCCAACACCATTCACAATTTGATGCGATAGTTCAGATCTGATCCATTGATTGTGGGTTCGCTTAACTGTCTATCCCTTGCTCTTTATGCTGTTTGGCATGCAAATAGTCATGTTTTACAGATTCACCAGGTTAATACCTCATTTTCATGTTTGCCCGTGCCTGATCCGGGCATGCCTTCCTGCATTCTTCACTGAATCAGGGTTGATCCTCTGTCTTAATGAGGATGGTATGCTGGGTCATGGGCTGGCAGATTGTGTTGAAGTGCAATTCCGTTGCTGACTCACCACATGGATGCCCAGTCTTTAGTTGGTATCTCTGTCCGAAGTCAGTCCCATTTTGCATATTGACAGTACCACACAACATGATGTCAGGTACTGTCAGTGTGAAGGCAGGACTTTGTTTTCATTATGACAGCGTGGTGGTCACTCTTACCGATACTGTCGTGGACAGATGCACCTGCAGCTGGCAGATTGGTAAGGATGAAGTCAAGTATGTTTTTCCCTCTTGTTGGTTCCCTCACCACCTGCCGCAGACCCAGTCTAGCAGCCATATCCTTTAGGACCTGACCAGCTCGATCAGTAGTACTGCTGCCGAGCCACTCTTGATGGAGAGATTTTGAAATTCCCCACCCAGAGTAAACTCAGCGTTCTTGCCATCCTCTGTGCTCCTTCAAGTGTTGCTCAGCACTGAGACATCAGCCAAGGGGGGAGCAATATGTGGTAACCAGCAAGAGGTTTCCTTGCCCACGTTTGAGCTATTGCCATGAGAGATTAGGGTGTCCAGAGTAAATGTTGAGGACGACCAGGGCAATTCCCTCCCAAAGGTACACCACTGAGCTACCACGTCTGCTGGAGCGCCTCTACTTTCATGCCAGGAGTATTACAGGTGAGGCAGACACCTGAAACTGCGATCTTGTTGCCATCAACATTCACGGTATAAGATCTTCAGGGGAGACCGTAAAAGAGACAATGTCCCATTATTAATGAAGGAGTCAGTTACTGCAGTAATGAGGAGCAATATGTTCGAAGGGTCATCAAATGATACTTTGTAGGTAGACCTTAGGAATAAAAAAGGGGCAATCACTGTTCGAAATATATTGTAGGTCCCCAGTCAACGGGCAATTGAAGAGCAGGTGTGTAGTCAATATACTTGGAAACATAATAATTGGGTAATTATAATGAAGGGATTTCAACTATCCCAAGGTTAATTGGGATAATCACAGCATAAAGGATTTGGAGGGGGCAGATTTCTTGAAATTTATTCAGGAGAGCTTTTCAAATCAAAATTTTCCCACAAAGTTGGTGCAAGTCAGGGGAACGAAGCCAGGCATCTATTTGAGGAGACAGTAGTAGACAGTATTTTAGTGAAAGCGACCGTAACACTATACATTTTAAGTTTGTTATGGAAAAAGAGTGCGCAAAAAAGGTTTTTCATTTGGTGGAAGGCAGATTTTATTAAAATAAGACAGGATCTGGCCAAAGTAGACTGGGGTCAGCTGTTTGAGGATAAGTCTGCAGCAGAACTATGGGGGACATTCATAAAGGTTTTGGGGAGAGCACAAGACAATCATGTTCCCTTTTGGGTGAAATGGAGGAGCAATGAGCCCAAAGAATCCTAAATGTCTGGGAATATTCAGGACAAGATTTAAAAAAGGAAAAAAGAGTTACAAAGGGAACAAATCAATGGAGATCCTGGTGGAATATCAGAAGTGCAAGGGGAACCTAAGAAAGCAATTGGGGGAATGAAGAGGGACATGAGTTTGCACTGGCATGCCAGATTAAGGAGAATCCCAAGATATTCTATAAGTATATCAAGGGGAAGAGGATACGCAGGGAAAGAGTAAAACCCATTTGGGATGAAAGAGGAAGCTGGTGCATGGAGCCAGTCGACATTGGTAATGTATTAAACAAGTATTTCACATCTGTCTTTAGTCAGGGGAAGAGGATGTATGTCCAGAACTCAAGAAGATACATCTGTGAAGATGTTGTGCAGTCTCACATAGGGAGTGAGCAGATTTTGCAGTTTTTAGCAGGATTCAAAGTAGACGTAACCCCAGATCTGGATGCACTGAACGCAGCTGCTGTGGGAGAAGGAGGAAATCACATGGGCCCTGAAAGAAATGTTTAATTCCTCTCTGGCCACAGGAGAGGTTCCAGAGGACTGAAGGACAGCCAATGTGGTTGCACTTTTCAAGGAAGGAGGTAGAGATAGACCAGTGAGTCTCAGATCAGTGATTCGGAAAGTTCTGGCAAGAATTCTGAAGAAGAGAATTAACCTCTATTTGGAGAGGCAAGGTTTGATCAGGGGTAGTCAGCATGGTTTTGTCAGAGGGAGCTCAACATGTCTGGTTGGATTTTTTGAGGAGGTGACAAAGTGTGTGATGACAGTGTGCAGATGATGTAGTTTATATGGATTTCAGTAAGGCCTTTGGCAAGGTCCCACGTGGGAGACTGATAAAGAGGGTAACTTGGCAAGTTGGATCTAAAATTGCCTTTGTGGTAAGAGACAGAGGGTGCTGGTAACAGAGGCTGTTTATATGACTGAAGACCATTGTCCAGTGATGTACCACAGGGATCAGTGCTGGGCCCCTTATTATTTGTGATATACATAAACAGTGTACATGGAAATGTGCAGGGGATGATAAGTTAGTTTGCAGAAGACAAGAAGATCAGTGGCCAATCATGAGGAAGAAGGTCTTGGGTTACAGAAGTTTACAGATGGACTGGTCAGATGGTAGATCATTGGCAGATGGAATCTAACTCCTAATATGTACAAGGTGATGCACGTCGGGAAAAGTAACAAGACAAGGGAGTAATCGATGAACGGCAGGACACTAGAAAGCTCAGAGGAACTGAGGGATCTCAGGGTGCTTGTCCACAGATCACTGAAGATGGCAGGACAGGATAAAGGGTAGTTAAGAAGGCATATACTACACTTGGTTTTATCAGTCATGGCCTAGATCATACGAGCAGGGAGGTTATGTTGGAGTTGTACAGGACTTTGGTTTTGCCACAGCTGGAGTACTACATGCAGTTCTCATCTCCGCACTATAGGAAGGATGTGATTGTACAGGAGAGGGTGAAAAGGAGATTCACCAAGATGTGGCCTGGGATGGAGCAGATAGCCTATAAAGTGAGGCTGGATAAGCTCAGCTGGTTTTTGTTGGAACAGAGAAGTTTGGGAGGGACCTATCAGAAGTGTGTAAAATTATGAGGGGCGTGGACAGGGTGGATAGAAAGCAGCTGTTCTCCTCAGTTGAAGGATCAATTACAAGTTGACACATTTTTAACGTGAAAGGAAAGTTTAAAAGTGGGATGCAGCAAATGGCTTTTCACCCAGAGGGTGTTGGGGTCTGGAATGCTCTATCTTGGGGTCAGTGTGGGGTGGTGGTAACTGAGGCAGGAAACCTCACGATCTTCAAAGTGTACTTGGATGAGTACTTGAAGTGTCACAACTGTCAAGGCTTTCGACCCAGTGCTGCATAGTGGGCGGAGTGTAGATTCAGTGTATTTTTGGTGGTACAAACTCAATGAGTCAAAGGGACTCTTCTGTCCTGAATAATTTCTGAAGAACGGTCCCAACCCGAAACGTCAGCTTTCCTGCTCCTCTGATGCTGCCTGGCCTGCTGTGTTCCTCCAGCTCAACACTGTGTTATCTCAGACTCCAGCATCGGCAGTTCTTCCTATCTCTGTATAATTCTATGGCTCCATGGGACAGAATATATACAGTGATGGTATCTGGGAGATTGTGACTGTGAGTATGACTATGTCAGTCTGTTGCTTGACTAGTCTATAAGGCAGCTTTTCCAATTTTGCCACAAGCCATCACCAGATGTTCATAAGGAGGACGTTACAGGGTCTAAGGGATGTTTTTGTCATTGCCAGTTCTGGTGCCTCGGTTGATGCCAGGTGGTTGCCCCAGTTTCAGTTCTTTTTTCTTTCTCCTGAGGATGTTGTGAAACTAGACAGGTTCAGAAAAGATTTACGAGGATGTTGCCAGAATTGGAGGGTCTGGGCAATAGGAAGGGGCTGAATAGGCTGGGGCTATTTTCCCTGAAGCGTTGGAGGCCAAGGGGTGACCTTGTAGACGTTTATAATATCATGATGGGCATAGATAGGGTAAATTAGCAAGGTCTTTTCCGTTGGGTGGGGGAGTCCAAAACTAGAGGACATAGGTTTAAGGTGAGACGGGAAAGACATAAAAGGGACCTAAGGGGCAACATTTTCATACAGAGGGCGGTGCAGGTATGGAATGAGCTGCCAGAGGACGTGGTGGAGGCTGGTACAATTACTACATTTAAAAGGCATCTGGGTGAGTATATGAATACTAAGAATTTAGAGGGATATGAGGCAAATGCTAGCAAATGGGACTGGATTTATATAGGATATCTGGTCAGCATGGAAGAGTTGGACCGAATGGTCTGTTTCCATGCTGTACATTTCTATGACTCTATAACTCAAAAACTAAGAACATCGTCAATGGCTTGGTCATGTTCAGGCACATGTTCTCATACAAACAAACACTGAGGGTGAGACACTTACATGTTTCCCAAAGCATTTGGTGCCGTCCTTTCGGGACACTTTTGACAGCTTGCTGTGCCATTGGCCAAGTTTTCCACTGTAAAAAGAAAACACTGTCCATTCTCGACTTACTGAATGAAAACATTTTTCTCCCCCCATCATAATGAGAATTTCAAACATAAATGGATGTTGTAAATGTTTCCCTCTTGTTTTTTTGTGCTCTGGACTAATTCTAAAATTGCACGTAAGGAGAGACCTGATGGCGGAGGGGTCAGCAATTCGTTTGCCCGGTTCTGAAGAAGGGTCTAGGCCTGAAATGTCAGCTTTCCTGCTCCTCTGATGCTGCTTGGCCTGCTGCGTTCATCCAGCTCTACACCTTGTTATCTCAGATTCTCCAGCGTCGGCAGTTCCTGAAGTCAGAGAACAGCCTGGCCTAATCTGTTTCAATTCTCAAGCTATGAGCTTACTGACTTCAGCTAGTGTACCACTTCCAATGCTACAGCTCGGGATCCATAAGAAAATCAACAAAGAATCTTGATCAATTCCTGCTCTTGGAAATAATGGTTTGGATTTTCACTCCTGAATCAGGAGACGTTACAGAGTAAATATTAACAGGATTACCGATTGTCACCCCACACACACATGGTCAACTCTCCAACACTGTGCTGAGCTAGCCATTCGAGTTTCATTCCAGCTGGTAAAACAAAAGAATAAAACCAAAGCCAGCCCTCCATACTCACACCTCACATTCCGCATGCATCATCCATTCCAATTCATGCCACCTCATGCTCTCCAAGCCTCAAATGCCCCTCTTATCTTCCATGCCAATTTATGCCTGTGTCCTCACACACCCATGGCCCTTTACAGTACCCATGCCATTATACTGTCATTTCCCACCAATCTATGCTTCTTGGTCTATGACCATTACACTGACACCCTCCATACCAACTCACCTAATACCATCAGCAGACCTCAGGGCCTGAGCTGAGATTAAACAAAATAAAGTTCCAAGTGTAATTCACTATTTGAAAAGACTTGGAATGATAAAAATCCATTAGTTACATTTACTTTCTTCAACTACTTTATCCCTTATAAAAGCACACATTTGTATTCATAGTCCCACAAAGACTTCACATGAATTGGAGTTGATCAGAAAGCTGAAAACTTGGACTGGTTGTGAAATCAGTCAGATGGTGGTGAATCTGTAGAACTCACTGCTACAGAAGGCTGCGGAGGCCAAGTCATTTAATGTATTTAAGACAGAGATTGATAGGTTCTTGATTAGTAAATGGATCAAGAGTTACGGGGAGATTGCAGGAGAGTGGGGTTGAGAAACGTATCAGCCATGATTGAATGGAGAAGTAGACTCAATTGGCCAAATGGCCTAATTTTGCTCCTACATCTTACGACCTATATAGCACAACTTCTATAATGATAATCATCAGACTTATGTCAACAGGCAAAGTGGAATAGTGATGACTATTTTATTTTAAAAGAATCTTTATATTTAAAGGCCAGGGACGAAATGTCTTGACAGTTCAACACTACCAATGAGTTTATTCACTATTTACGCACATTCATGTCTACTTTTAACAAACCCACAGCACATCGGCTACGCCCAAAGGGCATATTCCCTCTCTTAAAGGTGTCTCTGGACTTAGCTAAAAGGGCACCTCCCTTGATAGGGTGCCATAGTTCTCCAAGGAACTTCAGCAAACATCCCCAGTTAAAAAGATTTGGAGGCAGAAATTCCAGAATGGGAGGCATGGCACCATTTTTGCCAAGATATTTGCTTAGCAAACCTCTCCACTATTGCAAAAGTTCCAGTCTATGGACGCAGCACACTCCTGCAAGTGACTAAGAAAAAGGAAAACATACCTTGGATATTTTCTTCATTTGGACATGAGTTGCACCCTGTACACGTCAGACAATGCCTCTTGTCCACTGACACAACTTGATTCTACACAGATGGTAAAGTATCATAGAAGCAGTGTTAATTATTTGTATATCATATATTAAACTGTCAGGCATCTTTACTGTTGAATTGAAATCTTGGAAAGTGGGCCAGCACTTCCTCCACTGGGTGCGATTCACACGGCCAACAGTGGGATTAAGGTCACAGGCACAGTGCATCATTTTATAGGCAGAAATAAATTGTTTTTGCCTCATTTACCGCTTTCTGTTGACTGCTTCATGACTTCCACCCAACCCCCCACCCCCAATACTAGAAAGTCTAGCATCTCTGTGTGGAGAATCCTTCCCATTAAATAGGCAACTGAACAGCAACTGCCTATCTGCTAATATGGCAAA